CGTTGCAGTCATTGGGACACGAGGGCTGGCTGCAGTTGGGGCCCTTCCAGCCGGGCTCGCAGACGCAGCCGCAGATGTCGATGCTGTAGTTGCCGTGCCCGCTGCAGTAGGGTGTGGTGTCCAGGCGACCTGTACCAACGAGCCCAAAGTTCATTACTCCCCATGGCACTAGAATGCCTAAGTCAACATGTCACACACGACCCAAAGGGCTCTGATTTTCCTAGTTCCTTACAGGACATAGGTTTCTAAAGTTTTAAAATGAGAATCTTTCTTTCTCCACCTAGATTTACTTTACCAGGAAAGCTTTAATTTGCGCTAATGCCAGGGAAAATCCCCTGCCAGTGACTTGGTAATTGAGCATGCTGGATTCCTCCTCCCTTCTCAAAATCCTCTCCCACTGACTAAGAAGCTTTCCTGACTGCTTCATTAGGGCATGCAAAATAGAACATCATTCATCCATTCACCCCAGAACACAAAAGTCAGGCAGCACATTGTGTCATCAGCTGTATCAGCAACCAGGAGGCTTCTCTGAGCTCAAAGCTTATTCATTCTGAAGAAGACTTGTATTTCTTCTCTTATATGACCAACTCCTTCCCTCAATTTAAAAATCAACCAGACAGACACATTTTTCCCTCCTCTATAACTATTTGTGCTCGTCTATTGCCTTATGTCCTGCTGTATTTTTATTGGTCTCTACTAAAGAAAACTTGGAAGAGAAAATGGTTACATTGGCAGCTTCCTCAAGGGGACAAAAAGTGGAGCCAAGAGCTTGGACTGTGAGTTTTAATCTTAACTCTGACGTGGATTTACCATGTCCAACTGCTGTCCATGCTCAATGCCACATCTACAAAGCGTCCCAGGCCAGCTCCTGACCCACAGATCCATAAAGCCGTGGAACTGTGAATGAATGTACCTTGCACGCTGGCCAAACATGTTCCCAGTTTTGATTACGTTTCAAATTTAAGGGGTTGACTTGTGCTTATTCTTGAAAGAGATTGGAGTATCACTCTAAACAACATCTACAGCCAGCACAAGAATTTCCCCTAGGAGCAGCTCCCCAGCCTGCCTTACCTTCTGCTGCCTGGGAATTGGGACAGCATCCAGCCCCGCTGGCACACTGCTCCCGCAGGGAGGAGACCAGCCCCTCCAGCTCCTCCAGTCTGCTCAGCAGATCCTTAATGTCTGGGGCAGCTGCACAGCCACAGGCCCGCCGGGGAATGTTAATCCTGTGTGTGAAGACAATCTGGTTGCCCTCGTTCACCGTGTGCTCCTCGTAGTTCTTGACGGGCTCAATTTCCGCCTTCAGGTCGGCGTCGCCGCTCGCTGAGTCCAGGTCCACGGAGCAGAGGGAGCCAACGGGCAGCTTAATGTTGTAGACATGGTTGAAAACCACAGGCTGGTTATCCTTTGGCAAGGTCACGTTCAGCCCAGTCTCCCTCTTCGGCTGGATAATTCTCTTGATGAGTCCCCCAGTGACCTGCTGGGACAGCAAAGCGAGGATGGCACAGGCCAAGACCCGGCTGGGGAGTCCCATTGTGGTGCCCAGTTCCCTTTTGAGGCTGAGAGAGTTTTAGTTCTGCTTGGCCTTTGTAATCTGCAGCAGAAATTGGAGAGCCAGGCCAAACCAAGCTGGAGATCCTTTTCTTTCCTGGTGTGTTTGTTCCCTAAAAGAAGAAGGAACAGTGTAAGGGATTAACAGCACAAACAAAGCTGGAGATCCTTTTGTTTCCTGGTGTGTTTGTTCCCTAGAAGAAGAAGGAACAGTGTAAGGGATTAATAGCACAAACAAAGCTGGAGATCCTTTTCTTTCCTGGTGTGTTTGCTCCCTAAAAGAAGAAGGAACAGTGTAAGGGATTAACAGCACAAACCAAGCTGGAGATCCTTTTCTTTCCTGGTGTGTTTGTTCCCTAGAAGAAGAAGGAACAGTGTAAGGGATTAAAAGCAGCTACACCACCCAGCAAAGGTGTGACACTGCTCATGTGCTGCATCCTCAGAAAACAACATATTTGGCTCTACAACACATTTAGGTTTTACACAGCTGAACTCCAGATCTAATTCAAATTGATAATGCACAGTACAGTAATAAAAATTTAAATGCTTGTTTCTTTTGTTCTTTACCTTTCTTTTGTGTTTTGCTTCCACTTGTTATTTTTTGTCTAGTTTTAAACACCTACAAATACATTCCAGTGTTTTAGTACTTCACTATTTTAGGTTTTCTATTTTACATCAGAATGTTGAATTTCTACCACAGGACCATCACACTTCACCCAAGCTGCTGAGCTTGCTCTGATGTATAACAGTTGTTTTCCAGGATCTCCATGTGATTCTGAAGTAAATCCCACCAGACATGAAAAAAGCTGCTGTTATTTCCAGGTTAGAGAAAATACTCTGGGTTGTAGAAAATTCAAATGCCTCAAGCAGAATACTGGGGCAAAGATGCCTGCTGAGTCTCAACTCAACTGCAAACGGAGGTAGATGAAATAAATACGTGTTCTGTTATGATTTAACCAATGTTAAATTCTGTATTTCCTTCATCTCTCCACTGCTTGAAGGCTGCTCAAGGTTGGACCACGTAAGAAACTTGAGACATTGTCAAAAAGTGCATCAACACCACCAAGCTCATTCCATCCCTTTTCTATATGTTTTAAATTACTCTAAGATTGCTGTGGAACCTGAACTCCAGTAGCTCCATAGTAAGTTCCACTGTGTGATGATTTATCAAGAGCATGAAGATAAATGGAAGTCTCTGCAGGTGGAAGGTTCTGGTGTCAGTGCTTGTATCACAGGGATATTTTAGTAGGAAAGTAGTGAGGCACAAGAGAAGCAGAGACTCCAACAAGAGAGACAGCAATAAAACTACATGTATAAAAATACCTTTTTAGCAGGCAATGTCCCTTTCCATCAGGCAGCATTTCCCACTGCCTGATCTCAGCTACAGCACAATAACTCGTGTACAGTTACAAGCACCTGGCTGGGCTCTACAGCTCTTCCTGAAACTCATTCCTTTCAATTAGCTCCACTATTTCCTCTTCCTCCTCAGTCTGTGCCTGTTCCTTTTCAGTGGAGTGAGCCAGGGGAGTGCAAAGACATCCATTCACTTCCATGCAGGATCAGCCCCTCAGCACGTAGAGTGAGGAGCCAGAGCAGTAATGGACTGCCTGAACAAGCACACCTAATAAATGTCATCTCAGCATTTGTTTTCCTTCCCTCTCCCAGAAGAGCTTGGTTTAATGGTTAGATCAGTGACTGCTTTCAGTGGTTGCAAGCTATGAAATGCCAGTAATGGAGGAAACAGCAATTTATTCTCTAAACATCATGGTTTTGATGCTAATTTATTTGTCAGATGAGAGACCAGCCTCTTCCACCCTTCTGATTCCCCCAAAGTGATGGGATTGTTTTTCCCCATGCTATCCCAGCTGCTTTTGTGAGGGAATGACAATAACACATCAGACACATCACTGGAGTTTAGTGGGTTTAGTAGGGAATGGGCAAATTTCACCCCTTTTAACTGGGGAATAAATCAGAAGTAAACAAGGAGCAGGGAAGGTTTTTTCCTTGTTACGGAAAACCATTCAGCTTTAAGGCATTTCTAACACTTACCCCATTTGCTCAAATATTTCTGCAAGCCCTGTCTGCACCAGAAGAGATCACAAAGTTATTAATAAAGAATAACAGAGACAGACATGGTCCAGGTCTCATTTCTGACTCAATCCCTAAACTGGGTTGCCAGTTCATGAAATGTGCTCAGGACTGTATTTAAAGTGGGATTTTAGTCTCTAGCACTCCCACTTTGTCTTTGCAAAGCACTTCTCATGCAATTCTATGTGCTGCAATTCACTTTTTGCCCCAGGACAAAATCATACAGCTAAAACTGATGCCTGACCCTCAAGTAGTCACTAAAGGGACAGGCTGCTTGACAGATGGATCACCAATGGAAAATGGAACAAACTGGAGGCAGCTCTGCATCTCATTCTCGCTGAATTTTAGTGAAAGTTGAGCATCCATTTCCTTATGGCTTCTGGAAATCCCAACCAACAGGAATACAGCCCTTGCCCAAACCAAGGAAATTGCACTTTTTTTCTGCTGACAAATCACTTAATCATGGCACAAACTGTAATTTCTTTAATATGCCTGGAAAATGACAAACCTGCTCTGGCAAGAGCACTGTCACTGTCACCTTCACTACTGGGGAAAGCCATATGAACCCCAGGACTCTGAGAGGACACTTGCTGCTTTAGAAGCAGCCAAACCTCTCAGCTCACAGATGAAACTGGAAGAATTAACATGTCTGGGCTGACATCCTTTTGAAGTTTCTGGAGAAGCACTGTGGTGGTCTAGGAGCAGCATTTCTTGCTTGCTCTGTGACCCCTGTGCTTTGGCACCTGGTGTGATGTCTGAGCTAATCCATCCCCATCAGGTGTTTCCCATCCCATCCACCACGGGCCCAGCATGGTTAGCTGAGCTCCACTCCTGCATCTGATATCTACAAAACAAGACACCCTCCTCCAGTTCTTTATACATCAGCCATGGTTTTGGCTGGGAGAACAAAGAGGACATCCTTCTCTCCAGCTCCTCAGACACATCCAAACAACAGCTCTGACCACAACCGACCACCCAGGAGCAGGAGAGAAATGCAGCCACAATCACTGCCAGGCTCTGCTGTCCCTTCATTTTCCCTCCTCTTCCCTTCAGCGCAGCTCTTGTAGATTGTATTTTAAACATGCCTCTAGGAGAAATCATCTTGATATTTTCTTTGCAGATATCAGTTGCTGGATTATTTACAGGCACCTAAAAAGTCTTGAAGGAAAGGTTGGCAGAAAATGACCCTTCCCAGCATGAGTTTGGCCTTGTGGTCTGTAAGAGGAGCTGGTTGATGGCTGACATCTCTCAGGTTTGTATGACCCAGAGTGTGTTTAGTTTTACAAATATTTTGTCTAATAGAGAACACCTATCATCCTAATGAGCTGTGCCCTCAGATCTTCCTGCCACTCTGACTACAAAAATCCTGCACATGATGATGTGGATGATCTGCAAAACTTTCTGCTTGTCATGCAGGACGATAAATCCAGAGCTTGTGTTCTCCCCATCTGGTCACTGGCACCTTCCCACCCTCCCTGGGCAAGAGTTAACCCCTGCTCTCCTGCTCCCCTAGGCACAACTCCAATTTAAATAAGAAAAAAATGAGTTGTGGCCTCTCGCACAACTTAAATATCTGATTAAAAAATAGAGATTATGAATTGAGAAGCAAATCATAGCATCTCTGCAGTACAAGCTGGGACAAAAGGAGATTCAGGTAAAAAAAGAGTTTTCTTATATGAATATTAACTTTAAAAGTTAGATTTTAACCAAAGAGCAGAAAAGGGCTATTTCTAGAAAACACTCCTTAAAAACTTGATCACTGCCTGGGGACATATGAGGTGGAGGTAAGGTGGACTGTCAATAGCACACAAAGAAGGAATAATTTTCATTTCCACTGCAGCCCTTTCATCTGAAGATTTGAAAGCATGTCACAGTCTGGCTGTAAAAAGCTGAAAAAATGTTATTAAAAAGGGCCATTTCTTTGTTTAGACATCCCCCATTCCCCTTGCCCCCTCCCAGCATTAGAACTTTTCCAGGACCTTTCCATTTAATTAGAAATTTGTTTCTTAATAGGAAATTTTCAATCAATCTTGAAAAAAACCCCCAGGAATCCCGACTCCTGGGGAATACTAAGCAAAGGTAATGCATGAATATTTCCCTTCCCCAAAGTCATATTTGCTGGAAAGCAGCAGGTGTGAGAAACTAAATTAATGTCTGCATACTTTAAAGTCCTGGTGTAGCACTCCAGTCTCTCCTGAAATGTTCAGGAGTGGCAGAATTGTGAGATGATTTGTGGGTATGTGGAATGATAAATATGCAGATGAGAGCCCTGTGCAATTTTAATCAAAACAGATTGCAGCAAGGAAGGAATGGAGGTGTTAAAAACTCCATCTCAGCTGTCCTTCCTAACGAAGGCAGAAGGCTGATTAGATTTGCTCAGACACCCTCTACATGTCATGACTTGGAAATTAGACATGGAAATGGCAGGGAAAAAAGAGAGGGGGGCGAAAAAAAAAGGAAATAATTCCTGTCTAAGCAGATACTTCCTACATTTCAGCAGGAGGGGATCAAATATTGTCAGCACCATAGTGGATTCAAGCACATCTTGTTAAAATCTGGGTAAATTAGCAGCAGGCTGGGTTGTGACAGGGAGGAAGGCTCAGCTGGAGAAGAGCCAAAGCCCTCTCCAGGGAACACAGCAAGGAGCATTTTGAGGTTTGTAAATTGCTAACCCCAAAACAGTTCTCTGTGATCTATTAACTGCAGGAAATTCAAGTTTCCAGGGTTTCCACCAAGGAGGGAGCTGTGTGTTCCCTGCAGCCTGGAGTGCCCAGCAGGGCACGTGTGGTGTTATCACTGCCCTCTCCTCATGTACTGCCACCAAGACAAAAAGTTATCATCTCCTGGGGATATTGATACCATTCCCTGTGTGCAGACATGGGTAAATGGGGTGTTTTCTGCAAGGAATGCCAGCAGTGCTGTTCCACAGGACTCATAAATTGAGACCAGAGGGCATTTTCACAAGGCAAGGCCTCAAAAGGTGCAACCCCTCAAAACCAGAGTGCTGAGCTGGTTTTACCACGAC